TATAGACATCTTCCGTTATCGCCGCTGACACCGAAGCTCGTGTACCACGCATTTGTCAATCAATTGGTATAAATGTTTCATAAATTAATTAAAAAGTTAATTCTTACAGTTCTATCATAATAAAAGATATTTCTCATTTAGGTGAGCGGTGATTTGAGTTTATTTCGCTGGATCGAGGGCCCGATTACACCGGATTATAAGGAGAATAATCTCGTTCACATAGCTTACTCGTCTATCAATTTCAAAGATGTAATGATAGCATCCGGCAAACTTGCAGGAGATGGTTTCAATTCAACTCGTGGACGTCTCGAGGATTGTATGGTGGGTATGGAATATGTCGGCGTCAATAATACTGGACAGAGAGTAATGGGAATTTGGGAAAACAGGTACGTTATTCTTACACAATCATTTAAAAGTATACTGTATATAAAAAAGATTGATGTACTTTAAAGTAAGCCTTTTTTTGGATCAATTAATATATTGTATTTGTATATATTGTATGTCCATGTGTGATAAAAAAATAAAAAATAATTAAAAAAGTATTTATGTAAAAAAATTTGTATTATAAATGTTGCAAAATTTTGTAAAGCCAAAGCACAAACGTAGAATTATTTTTTTGAAGTGCATAAATTTTTTATAAACAATATTGCTATATTTACTGTAAAACCTACAAGTTATCCTTTTTCTAGATAATCCTGTTTTTTTTAGATATAAAAAAATTTTAATTCTTTAATTCACAGATCCATATCAAATATGTGCACATCCGCCAAATACTTATGCTGGAATGTTCCCGACGAGTGGAGCATGGAAGACGCTGCAACGGTTCCGTGCGCTTACGGCACGTGCTGTTACGGATTAATTATCAAGGCAAATATGAAAAAGAGCGACACAGTACTTATCCACTCCGGTACCGGTGCCGTGGGCCAAGCTGCGATTCATCTTGCGCATCACAAAGGTTGCGAGATATTCACCACCGTTGGCACTCCGGAAAAGCGAAAGTTTATCAGAGACACGTTCCCGTTCATCCCAGAGAATCACATTGGAAATTCGCGCGACAACAGTTTTGAGCAAATGATATTTAATCAGACCAACGGCCGTGGCGTGGACATTGTATTGAACTCGCTCGCCGAAGAGAAACTCCAAACGTCCATCCGTTGCCTGGCGAAGGACGGGCGTTTTCTGGAAATAGGCAAATACGATTTTATGGCCAATAATTCGTTGAACCTGTCGATGCTTTCGAAAGGAATTTCATTTTACAGCGTTATGTTGGATAATATATTCACAGCTCCGGAAAAACTAAAAGAACGTTTGAACATGGAAGTGGCCATAAATCTTGCAAATAAAGCTTTTCAACCGATTGCCAGAAAGATTTTCAAAAAAGATGAAGTGGAGGCTGCATTCAGATACATGGCAGCTGGAAAGCATATAGGAAAGGTAAATCAATTAAACTGGAATTAATTGTGGCATAATTACGGTTGATCAATTAAGAATAAAACATAATACATGAAATAAAAAACTGAGTTAACTAAATTAACGTACTTTCAGATAATCATAAAAATACACGAAGAAGATGAATCTATGAGCGCACCCATTCTTGCACTTCCACGTTATTACTGTCTATCAAACAAATCATACATCATCTTAGGCGGCTTGGGTGGCTTCGGCTTAGAATTAGCCGACTGGCTGGTTGTTCGTGGCGCTCAGAATCTGGTGTTCATCTCGCGCGCCGGAGTAAGAAACGGATATCAGCAGATGAAGATCGATCGTGTGGAAATCTTACGGAGTGAAAGTGCTAATCATATCGAACGTCGATGTATCGGACGTCAAAGATTGCGAATATATGCTGAAATCGGCAGAAAAACTGGCACCGGTGGACGCTATATTCAATCTGGCTGTGGTATTGAATGATAAAATTTGCCGGAATCAAACTGTAGAGACGTTCCAGGAGCCCTTCAAAGCGAAAGCTTGGGCCACGAAGAACTTGGATCATTTGACCAGAAAGATATGTCCTCAGCTTCGTCACTTTGTTGTGTTCTCTTCGGTATCTTGCGGCAGAGGAAATGCCGGACAGACCAATTACGGTATGGCAAATTCCATCATGGAGAGAATTTGCGAGAGACGAGTGCAAGAGGGTCAGCATGGACTAGCGGTTCAATGGGGTGCGGTCGGCGATGTCGGCCTCGTGGCTGATATGCAAGACAACGACAAAGAAATGGTTATCGGCGGCACTTTGCAGCAAAAGATAACTTCCTGCATCGCGAAACTCGAGGACTTTTTGTTACAAAAACAGCCTATAGTGGCGAGCATGGTTGTAGCCGAGAAGCGGTTGAACACTTTTGGCGCATCCAGTATTGTCGAAACTGTGGCCAATATTATGAGTAAGTTAATAACATTAAAAAAATTAGACTATTTGATTAATCAATTTATTTCAATTGGAATTTGTTTGATAAAGAAGATCAATGTGTTTAATTAAATGTGATTAAAATATTTAATATAAACTAAATAATTAAAACTAAATATAAAAAATTAATTAAATATAGATCTGAAGGACATGAGTACCGTGGCTCATCACATGCCTTTGTCCGAGCTTGGAATGGACTCGATGATGGCCGTGGAAATTAAACAGACCTTGGAACGGGAGTATGAGATTTTCCTTACCGCGCAGGATATTCGCGATCTCAATTTCGCTAAGCTCGCCAAAATGTTTGAGAAAGATATGAAGAACGAGGAACTCGCCGAGATAACAGGAATAAAATTGCTCATTCGCATATCAGGCGATGATCAATTGATACCCGATGTTTGTAGAAAGCTTTCGACGAAAAAAAGCACGACGGAAAGCGAAATATTCCTATTGCCAGGTATAGAGGGTTGTGCAAACGTCTTTGATTTGCTGGTGCCAAAAATCGAAGGTTCAGCGACGCGTTTGCAATACAACACGCATAACATCGGCACAGACTTAACATCAATAAAAGATATCACTAATAGCCTTTTAGAGGTAAATTCTTCACTTAATTAACAACTGGACTCCATAATGTAGAAAGAAGGAAACAGATTGTGATACAATAAAATACTGCATGCCAGAATACAATGATAACAAGATTACAGTTCAAGATATTTTCAATCCCATTTTTTTCTGTTAAGTTTTTTTATATTTTACTGTTTTTTATGTGTTTCTAGCACATTTTGAGCAGAGAACAAAAATTGCCACAGAATTTTGTACTAGTCGGCTATTCGTATGGATCGACAATTGCAATTGAATTAGCGCGGAAGTTAGAAGAAATGAATCTCAAAGGCCGATTGATACTCATCGATGGAGCACCCGAGCATATAAAGGCAATGGCTAATATAATTTGTCCTTTCACTGCGTTAGATGAATTTCAGAATAATGTTCTTTTGGGTATAATGGATTTGTTTCAACCAGCAGCTAGTGGAAAGGTATATATAGTCGTTGATTGATGGTCTGAAATGATGGACTTTTCGGCAAAATTCACAAATCTAATCTTTTCAGTTTGTGTTGGAGTTGAACAAATGTACTAATACTAATTGGGACGAAAAGTTAGAAATTTTTTTGAAACATGTTTCTTCGGCTTATTCACAAGTAATGATTGACAAAAGAAAAGCTTTGTGCACAACAATATATAAGCATTTGAACGGTCTTCATGAATACGATGTGACACAAGTACCGAAAATCGAATCACCTATAATACTTCTGAAGCCCACGACATATTCGTTACTTTTTCCTCAAGAAGACTATGGCTTGCACAAGGTAATTGAAATATATAAAAAAATAATTGATACAGCAGAACAATTATAATTAATATAAAGTTACTTGCAGATTACTAAAGGAAAGATAGAAATACAATATGCTGAAGGCACTCACATAACAATAATGGACAATGAGAAAGTCATTGCTGTAATTAATGAAACAATTAATTCCATCGAACCTATTAAAAGCATGCAAATATAATGGGTAATAATAATATGACATTTGTTTAAAATATCCATACTAGACATAGAAGTTAATATGCAATTTAAAATACTATATGTATTCACAATATATACTATATATACACAAAATCTAAATACTACATTTAGTTTTGTAGGATTTTATAAAACACAACGTGGTTAATATGTAATTGTTTCTTTAAACTATGTATATGTTAAAAGTTATATAAGCTGAAATTATTTGTTTCAAGTCACAAATAAAAATATAATCTTTTTCCTAAAATTAACACAATTTTGTTTTTTCTTTTAATATATCGCTTCCATATAGTCTGAAGTATTTAATTTGTATATAACTATTGAATAAATAGTTTAATTAATAAAGTAAAAATTATTGCAGATATCAGCTTGATTGAATCGAATTAAGGATTTCACATTACTTTACTTACATATTTTTTGTCTAAAATATAAAGTAAAGCAATATTTTATTTTTATATGTCAAAAGTTTTTTCGAAGTAGGAGGAGTTTTTTGCATTAGAAAGCGATGTAAAAATTTAAAAAGAATTAAATCTAAAAAATTTATAAATTT